CAGCAACCATAAAAACAAATTTCGAATAGAAAGGATAAAATGCAGATATGATCAAAATATTATTTTCTTGATTTGAAAAATGTCGATGTTCCGTGGGGGTTGAGACAAACCTCATGAGCTAACTCCATAATTAAATATACGAATATAAGAAAATTTATGTCTCTTACTTACAAACTTAAAATGACTTCGGTTGCTGATATTGACATGCACTAAAATTAAAATGACATGATTCATCTGAAGTTTTACGCTTATATTTTTTGAGCTCACCAAAACAAAGATCGGTATCACATCTCCGGTAATTTGAGCTGGAAAAAGTATATTTTGTAATTTGAAAACAACTGAACGGGCTCGAATGAGAACTCCTAACTAACTTTTTTGAACAGTTTTTAATCACTGGAACACAATGCGGCCCATGTCATTTTCCCATTGCGCTTGAGTTAAAGGTGGGAAGTAAACTTTTTTAAAGAGTTGACCTTAAAGCCCGCAATGAACAATTAGTTAAATCGACAAAAATCAAAATTGCGTCTCATTCAAAAATATGACGTCAAAAATTGAGTCTTAATACAGTGCTGATTTAAATTATCCGGACAAAACGAACAAAACTTGAATTTTCAAACGCGTTTTTCTCAAATTGGGTTTATTTATATATTAATCTTTTTATATATTAATCTTCGATATCTCTATTCAACCAATCACACGTAATTGGTATAAAAGCAGCAAACATTCTGCAACATAGAGGTTAAGAAGGGCTTCGCACCAATTACGATACTGCGATACAACAAAAAGATAGCATGGCAAGCTAGCGGAAAGAAATCGAGACGAAAGCCGCTTAGTCGGATATAAATGCATTTATAACGTTTGACATGTTCATTTTGAAGCAAACATGCCCATTAAGACAACTTTCAACGTTGATTTAGCATCGAAACAAAAGTTACGCAGCGGTAACAAAGACAAGACTCAAGTAGACACCACTTGGGCCGAAACAATTGTCCATATAAAAAACTTTTTGAGCTCTCAAAAAATTGAAAACTCGAAGCTTCAAGTCTCCCCTCCAATAAAACACCGGCATAGAAAACTGATTTTATACTTAAATGAGAAATACGAGTCGGCTGCTCTAATATACTATACGCCAAAAATTTGATACTAAATAACGAAAGGGTAGTTATTAAAAACAAAAAAAAGAAAGGGTAGTTATTAAGTTTACAGCAACCATAAAAACAAATTTCGAATAGAAAGGATAAAATGCAGATATGATCAAAATATTATTTTCTTGATTTGAAAAATGTCGATGTTCCGTGGGGGTTGAGACAAACCTCATGAGCTAACTCCATAATTAAATATACGAATATAAGAAAATTTATGTCTCTTACTTACAAACTTAAAATGACTTCGGTTGCTGATATTGACATGCACTAAAATTAAAATGACATGATTCATCTGAAGTTTTACGCTTATATTTTTTGAGCTCACCAAAACAAAGATCGGTATCACATCTCCGGTAATTTGAGCTGGAAAAAGTATATTTTGTAATTTGAAAACAACTGAACGGGCTCGAATGAGAACTCCTAACTAACTTTTTTGAACAGTTTTTAATCATTGGAACACAATGCGGCCCATGTCATTTTCCCATTGCGCTTGAGTTAAAGGTGGGAAGTAAACTTTTTTAAAGAGTTGACCTTAAAGCCCGCAATGAACAATTAGTTAAATCGACAAAAATCAAAATTGCGTCTCATTCAAAAATATGACGTCAAAAATTGAGTCTTAATACAGTGCTGATTTAAATTATCCGGACAAAACGAACAAAACTTGAATTTTCAAACGCGTTTTTCTCAAATTGGGTTAACATTAGACAAAAAGTGAACAGAACAAAAGTTGCTTAGAATTTCACCAGAATTAATATGGTGCCATTTTTTCTCCGAAATTCTCAACAAAAATTTTACCCAAAAATGGGTCATTTTGGCTTTTTTCAATTAATCAAGAATTACGCGGAAACTACATTGTTAATTGATGAGAAAATTATATCACAGGAAGCCTCTTACGCAGCTCAACAAAGTATAAGAAGGGTTAAATCTCCAAAAATTTGCGCAAATTGTTTAAAATTTATTTTTAAACAGAACTTCTGGGTTTTATATAGTAAAAATCACATATATGACTATCAAGTGATAATTTTTTTCTTATACTGGTTTCTGGAGATTTAACCCTTCTTATACTTTGTTGAGCTGCGTAAGTGGCTTCCTGTGATATAATTTTCTCATCAATTAACAAAGTAGTTTCCGCGTAATTCTTGATTAATTGAAAAAAAGCCAAATGACCCATTTTTGGGTAAAATTTTTGTTGAGAATTTCGGAGAAAAAATGGCACCATATTAATTCTGGTGAAATTCTAAGCAACTTTTGTTCTCTTCACTTTTTGTCTAATGTTAACCCAATTTGAGAAAACCCGTTTGAAAATTCAAGTTTTGTTCGTTTTGTCCGGATAATTTAAATCAGCACTGTAGACTACGAAAGCGATTTGTTCAAATAAAGTTCCAAAAAATGATGCAAGATGAAGAAATCAAATATTCAAAATAAAAAAAGATAGAAATAAAGAAATACCTTGAAAAAAAGCATAGCCAATAGAGTTTGAAAAGAGTCAAGAAAACTGAATCAAAAAGGTATTATATTCCGCTGCGGGTCTGAAAATTAAATTCAACTTTCGGAACTTAAAGTCAATTACGTTTTTGGTGACCTTAACACTTTTGCTGTTTCCACAGAGGAATTTGCCTTCGTTTTTACAAAAAAAGTCAGTTGAACTTAAAAAGATATCAAAAGTCAAAGCGCGAAAAACTTTATTTGAGCCTGAACAAATTTTATGACTTTTCATGAAAAAAAGCCATGGCGACCAATATAAGAGTCTGAACAACGTAAATCATAAACACCAAAAAAAAAACAAATCAATGGTTAAATGTATGCAATTTTTGTACCTACTGACAAATCTACACCAGCTCTTTTGCCAGAGGAGAACTAGTTAGAGAGATTAGAATTTGCATTAAGTCTGTGCACTTTTGAGTTTCCCAGAATAAATTACCTCGCCTCAATGCTATTCGAATGGCTTAACTTTTAATGATTAACAATTCAGTTTTTCATGGACCAACCCAACTTGCATAAACTGGATCTAAATTGATTTCTAATTCCTGGGTCAAATTAAAATCCATTCATGCAATTTAATTCGAGAAGTTTCCCATTTTGCTTTTGGTTAGCGTATTTCTAATGAGTATCTGAGTTTAATGCAAATGTTCAAGTTAGAATTTGATTGATATGTTTTAAGACTGGGGACCAATATTTCAGCATAAAAAATTTAAAATGTGTCGTCTAGCAGAGCAATGTAATAAAACTCATCAAATGAGTTTCCTGGCTTCCTGTGATATAATTTTCTCATCAATTAACAAAGTAGTTTCCGCGTAATTCTTGATTAAGTGAAAAAAAGCCAAATGACCCATTTTTGGGTAAAATTTTTGTTGAGAATTTCGGAGAAAAAATGGCACCATATTAATTCTGGTGAAATTCTAAGCAACTTTTGTTCTCTTCACTTTTTGTCTAATGTTAACCCAATTTGAGAAAACCCGTTTGAAAATTCAAGTTTTGTTCGTTTTTTCCGGATAATTTAAATCAGCACTGTAGACTACGAAAGCGATTTGTTCAAATAAAGTTCCAAAAAATGATGCAAGATGAAGAAATCAAATATTCAAAATAAAAAAAGATAGAAATAAAGAAATACCTTGAAAAAAAGCATAGCCAATAGACAGTTTGAAAAGAGTCAAGAAAACTGAATCAAAAAGGTATTATATTCCGCTGCGGGTCTGAAAATTAAATTCAACTTTCGGAACTTAAAGTCAATTACGTTTTTGGTGACCTTAACACTTTTGCTGTTTCCACAGAGGAATTTGCCTTCGTTTTTACAAAAAAAATCAGTTGAACTTAAAAAGATATCAAAAGTCAAAGCGCGAAAAACTTTATTTGAGCCTGAACAAATTTTATGACTTTTCATGAAAAAAAGCCATGGCGACCAATATAAGAGTCTGAACAACGTAAATCATAAACACCAAAAAAAAAACAAATCAATGGTTAAATGTATGCAATTTTTGTACCTACTGACAAATCTACACCAGCTCTTTTGCCAGAGGAGAACTAGTTAGAGAGATTAGAATTTGCATTAAGTCTGTGCACTTTTGAGTTTCCCAGAATAAATTACCTCGCCTCAATGCTATTCGAATGGCTTAACTTTTAATGATTAACAATTCAGTTTTTCATGGACCAACCCAACTTGCATAAACTGGATCTAAATTGATTTCTAATTCCTGGGTCAAATTAAAATCCATTCATGCAATTTAATTCGAGAAGTTTCCCATTTTGCTTTTGGTTAGCGTATTTCTAATGAGTATCTGAGTTTAATGCAAATGTTCAAGTTAGAATTTGATTGATATGTTTTAAGACTGGGGACCAATATTTCAGCATAAAAAATTTAAAATGTGTCGTCTAGCAGAGCAATGTAATAAAACTCACGAATAATTGATTGAAAGACATACGTAAAAAGTCGCTCAGTCGTAGGTCAAGCTTCCCTAATTAAAACAATTCTCACGGTTTAAGAACAAAACAAAACTATCAACCTCACAAACAAAATAGTATAAATTAGCGGTAAAACACACATTTAAGCGCAGCGGAGCAAGCAGTTGCAACTTTATTTTAGCGGGTTTGAAGTTAGTGTTCTGACTTGCAAATTGTTTAAGTCTGCTAAAAGATCGGTCTTTAAGACTTGCACCTTTAAGACTGTTCTTAGAATATATCGGCCATCCCCTCTGCACTCTATAGCCCTTTTGCAACTCAGTTGGCAATTTCTGATTCTCGCTGTAATCGCGTTGCCTAAATGAACTCTGAAAACCTACCTTCGTTCATATCCTTGCATGTATTATTGTAATTTCTCATTTCAGATACTCTGATTGCAGACGGCCTTCTGAAAACGTCTAAGATCACAACATATCAATATCAAATGAGAATCAACCATAATTGGCATACAATATATGTTAACAATTAAACACCAGTTCAATTGATAAACGATTTATACAATATTATAGCAGAAAATACAACAGACACTAGTCAACTTCTTCAATTCAGATAGTTTTCACTATGTTGGTCAATGGAACCCAGTGTGTTGTGATATACTTCGTTCGTTTTTTTCAGATGTCTTGTTTTTGTCTTAACTTTCCAAATCTAATATCTGTAGTAGTCTGGCTTGAAGGGTCCGTCTTGTGGGATGCCGAGGTACTCGGACTGTTCCTTGCTCAGTTTCGTCAGTTTCACTCCGATCTTGTCCAGATGTGCCATGGCCACCTGTTCGTCCAGACTCTTCGGCAGAGTGACCACTTCATTGATCTTGTACTTGTTCGGGTTGCACCACAACTCAATCTGAGCTAACACCTGAAACAGAGAAAGTGATTAGCTCAGAGAATAGGCCATCTAGCTTCCATTAAGCAGCAAACTATCTTATGGATCTAACCACAACCCCACAAAGAGTGTGAAGGGACAATTGCCTCAGGTTTTGTTGCGAAATAAACTAATATGCACCGAAGACAACTCGCAATTGACAACATATCAACTTCCTTTCAGTCATGCTTCGGATTCCGAAGAAAATCTATCCGCGCCGAAAAAAAAAGATTTTCTTACTATTCAGGCTAATTTGCCGCTATTGTGATATCCATGTCAGACAGTTCTGAACTCTTTCTTAACATGCCCGCATTCCATGATCGAATTATTTCGCATATTTTATTCCATAAGCACATCTCTCCTCTATTAAACAATACAACAACGTTTTACCTGGTTGGTGAATGAGTTGCTCATGACGAAGCTAGGGTGTCCGGCGGCACAGCCCAGATTGACCAGTCTGCCCTCTGCCAGGACTATCACGTGTTTGCCATTGGGTAGAGTGTACAAGTCCACTTGTGGCTTCACTTCATCCTTCTTAGCCGCCAACGCATTGAGACCCGCAATCTACAATGGAAAACAAGCTGTAATGAATAAGAAAGAAACATTATCTTATTGAATAGTAAATTCGAAAAAAACAACACCGCTATTTCGTTACAATAATTCATGATAGTCCTTGTTTGATAGGGACTCCGAAAACGAAAATTAGTTAAATTAAAAACTGGGAAAATTCTAGGTTATAGAGTTCATTTCTTGAAGTCACGCACAGTTTAACTCACTCAGCCCTAGAAACCACAAAAATAGTTAGCAAATTAATACAAAACACTTTTGATATGTAAGATATGTTCTTTTTGAAAAAATGCATTGGTTTGTGATTTCGAAATTTCAGCTGTTCAGTTCGAGATCGCATGAATGTTGAAGGCCTTTTGAAATTTTCTTAGGTCGAGCTTACATCAATTTCGCAGTCGAAATGTCCGATGTTGCAGACGATGGCGTAGTCCTTCATTTTGGAGAACATGTCTGAGGTGATGATTCCGGAGCAGCCAGTCGCAGTCACAAAAATGTCAACCTGAGACACTACATCGTTGATAATGTCGACCTATAACCAATAATCACCAACTAATTGTCTTAATAACAGTTTTTATCTTTCGGAACATGATGATTAAATCCATCACTTTGGTCCGAAACAAACTTCTTGTTGTACCTGGGAAGACTAAGATTGTAAAGCTTATCACTTAAAACTAGATAAAATTTTCAACCTTGGTTAATTGAATAACTAAAAATAAAAGAGACTATCAGAATACAGACCTGGTATCCTTCCATAGCAGCTTGCAATGCATTGATTGGGTCGACCTCAGAGACAATAACTCGACATCCGTAGCTTCTCAGACTCTGTGCACTGCCCTTGCCAACGTCTCCATAGCCTGCCACAAAAGCTACTTTGCCTGCCAACATGACACCTGTCGCTCGTTTGATTCCGTCGACTAGAGACTCACGACATCCATACAGATTGTCGAACTTTGACTTCGTTACCGAATCGTTAACGTTGATAGCCGGCACTTTAAGTTCTCCGTTCTTGGCCATTCTATACAGAGCGTGGACACCTGATAAAAAATAGGACAATGAACAAAATTTTTACGTAAGGTCTTCTTGTTCTTTTTATTTAAGAAAATATTTGACGTGAGAGTTTTAACTGCAAAATCTGAAGCCATTTACTTAACTTCAGTTTTTTTATAAGCTTTAAGTAACAAATTAGTTTATATTAGTGGGAAGTATTTACTTGTGGCATATTTGCTGCGTTCTCGGCAAATCTTATTATCTTTTCAACTCGCTAAGTAAAAATATGCAACTTGGTTTTCTTTGGAACGAATTTCCTAAATCTAAGCAACTCATCATTATCTTTGGTAGTGCCTCATTTAAAAAAAAAAGGAGAAAACAAGAAACACTTTAAAATCATGTACCTGTTGTGGTCTCTTCTGATAACCCTTTGATCTCAGGGAGGTATTGAGGATACTCCTTGTGGACCATAGCTGTCAGGTCTCCACCATCGTCCAAGATCATGTTGAGAGGCTTGCCATCTTTGAACAACAGTGTCTGTTTGATACACCAGATATATTCCTCTTCTGTTTCGCCTTTCCATGCGTACACTGGGATACCTGCCTTTGCGATTGCGGCAGCAGCGTGATCCTGAGTGGAGAAGATATTGCAGCTGCTCCATTGCACTTCGGCTCCGAGTTCAATTAGAGTCTCAATCAAAACTGCAGTTTGCAACGTCATATGCAAGCATCCCGCAATTCTAGCTCCTTTCAGTGGTTTACTGGGACCATACAGAGCTCTCAGTTTCATCAAACCTGGCATCTCAATTTCGGCCAAATTGATTTCTTTTCGGCCCCATTCGGCCAGAGAAATGTCAGCTACTTTGAACGATGCTTGTGACATAATTGCAGATTTAAACAGAACAGAAAAGCAAAAACAACTTCTGAAAGTAAAGCAAAAATATAAGCCTACTTGGTTCGATTGGTAAAAGAGTAAAAGTAAGGCCGACTCTCATCAGTTTTAAAAAATTACGTAATCTGAAGACACGAAAGGATCAATACGCATTAGATTACGTAATCTGATGATAGCGTGTTCAACAACAAAGCATGAAATGTGGAACGCCATTATTCAGCAGCAAGCATTGCCATCTAAATCCATTCAAATAGTTGGTCTACAATATGTGCGCGGCCATTTTTATCACTTATACAAACAGATAAGAAATATCGACGACCAATACAAGTCAAGATAGAAAACGAAGGCGTGTACTTATTGTGTACTTCATACAAGATGGTGTTCCAACTAGCTTAAATCGTTTACCGAAATAGTACTCTTAGCCTACACTAAGTGAGACCATGACCCTAGATATCAATCGTCGAAGCAATCACACAGCAAACCAACCGATAGCTATGCTATGGCTTAGTGGTGAAACCCCTTTGATAATTGATATATTTGTAAGCCAAGAGGAGCAAACTAACACACGAGGGTCACCATACGTTCTAGTTTAATAAACTAGCCACAGAAAGAAACCTGGAAAATTTTATAACGAACTCAAACAAGGAAACAAACAATACGGATTTTTAATCAACATCCTAATTTTTCACAAAAAAATGACCACTTTCAATATCATTTCAGTTGAATAAACCTTTCATGCTTGACACTTGTGAGATAATTTGACCCTAATTTGAGAAAACATGAGCATGAAAATCATTCTATCTTTCGCTAATAATAAAAATCTAAGTCACGTTTGTGAATAAACATGCAGAGCGAATTATCGCACCATTTATAATTCCCTATCAGATAGAAGAATTGAGCTCTGCATTGAAAGTAAATTTGCAAAGCTAGCTACAAAAGTCAAACAAAAAACTGATGCAAAAGTCAAACAAAAAAGTCAACAAACAGTTGGAAAAATCGGGTCTTTTCTGTTATACCATCCAAAATTATCAGAATTGTTATTTGATCTTGTTTTTATTGGAAATCCAGATTTTTGTTCTCTGGCAGTAACTTCAACCAATTAGATTCGAGCATTCTGATCATATTTTCAAAATTTGAAAAGATCAGCTTTGGGCCGTATAACAAAAGAGCCGAAAAATACCAAGAAACAAGGAATTTTTGCTGGAATGCTCAAATTGACATCGAATATTTAAACGAAAAGTCGTCCAAATCTCAAGTCAAATTGAGCTTGATCAAACAAAATTTTACTGAAAAACATAGTTATGAAGCAAGTAAACATAAAAAAACACTGACTTTGTTGAAAAAATCTCATCTTTCCAATTTCAAATAAAAAAATAGTTGCCCTTTAAACTCTTTGACTTTCTACAACGATTTATGATTGGCGCTCTTTTAATCTACAGGTAAAGTTTTTATTCCGCTGGAAGTCTAAAACTTAAATTCCACTTAGAAATCGTTCAAGTTTTTTTTTGCGCCATTTCCACGTTCGTATTTGGAGAGTGCTATTTACGTCACTTTCAGCAGATGAATTTCAATTGAACTCAAAAAGTGCATATATACCTTTAAGTGCATTCATAAATGCATCAATATGTATGAATGCAAATCTGTTGTTATCAGTCTTTTATGCACATTTTCAGACTTTTTCCTTAAAAAACAAAAAAAAATCTGCAAGACTTATATAAAAGTCTTCACTACGTTCATTACTCTTAGAAAACAAGAAATCAACGAAACATATTCACTCCGTTCATTGACACTGAAAAAAAAACGAAGTGTCTTCACAATGTTCAACTACACTGAAAAAAAAAACTTACACAGCGGCTAAACAAAGCTGCCCAACATGTGCGATAAATCGCACATATAGCATGGTAAGTTAGCGGATCAAGGAGCCACTTAGTCGAAAGAACTGCTTTGAAAACGTGTCAAAAATATTTCTATAAACTTATGTCTGATGTATCTTCAAATGTTCAATTTGAAAACAAAACTGTTACATTACCTTATGCACGAAAACGCATGGAAGTATTTTGCCTTTAAAAGAGCTAATAATAGACTAGTAATCTTTTATAATAAACGCCTAATAGATTAAAGTACATTAACTTTCAAAGCAGAAACAAATAAACAAACGGAAATTGGAAAAAAAATGAAACTCAATTACCTGTATCTTTAAAATTGTTTGATGCGGCATTTTGCAAAAATGAAAATCCCTGCGCGTTCAAGACTCAGTCTATGCTTTGGAAAGTAAGCCGACCAAAACTAAGCAGACAAACGATACTATGACAGCTCAGTTGAAAATTGACTTTTTTTTTGAAAAACGAAAAATTCACTTCCAGGAAAGCAGCCGAGAAACAAAACCACCAGCATTATATAAGCTTTCAGTATTAATTGAGCGGCAACTAGGCCGATGAAATGTGGTTCGACGCCCATTGAGCCGAAAACAAAATGAACACCATATTAAATTGTTGTCAAAAAAATTTAGAGCGATTAAGTTTCAAAATTTTAAACGTACACAAAAACCGTCCTGATTTATTTCAAACAAACTTAACAATTTCTGCCATTCAAACAACGCAAAAAATGACTCCGCCAATAAAACATGATCGGAAACTATTTAGCCCGAATAAAGCTTTTAAGCAGAAACAAAAAAATATATACTAAGTCAGGGCCAGTAAAATTACAAATTACGGGGGTTAACCATTCATACTTGCTATTGCAATAAGTATTGCTTAGAGCAGAAAAAAAGACCCGTGATGTGTCAAATAGTGCGACAAAACATAGGCAGACAAAAAATACCGCCGATTCAATTTTTCCCCACTAAAATCATTCAATTACATACATACTGAAAAAACCACGGTCTGGCCGTGACTCGAACCGAAGACCTTAGGGTGCAAAGGAAACCATGATACTTTTTGACCAATAAAAAAGTAGCCTGGAGGTTGTTGAGGTTCAATCATGAAACCATTTTGTTTACGGGAAAAAAGTTCCCGATTACAAAACCCTAGAAGTTTAAAAACCCAGGTCTAGCTGGAAATCGAACTCCTTGCCTTAGGCTCCCAAGGCTCGCTCTTTACCATCAAACCAACTAGGAAAGGCTTAAAATTACCAACGTTTCAAATTATAGCAAGATTTTTATAAACTGTAAACGGGAAAAGTCTAGTTGCCCACTGAATTTCATTTTCTCTCGCGAGTGAAGTTAGCAAATGCCTTGACAAAAAATTTCAAAACTATGAAATACTAATTGGTTTCTATCAATGGGATTTAAATGGATCGCAGCCTCAAGGGGCAACAATTAAGATAAATACGTTAAGTAAGCCCTTTTGGGCGATATGCCAGTGCATCTAACGAACTCCTGATTCGGCTCTGGGGATAGTTGGATATACTCCTGATCGGCGGGCAGTAAGTAGGTTAGTAAGACCGCAATCAAAGACGGGTAAAAATGTAAAATAAAAGACTGCTCAGATTGGAGCCCTTAAGGTTCCAAATGCCCTTGATGCTTTTTCTTGGCGAATTTGAGGTGAGCGAAACTTTTTAAATTAATTTTCTTCGCTTTTCAAAGCAGTTTACAAGCAATATGATTTTGTAGGAGATATTTAGAGTCTGATGAGGAATTAATGGGACCAATTGAATAGCATCAATTTCTTTGAAATTATTGAAGCACAAACTCATTCGCTGCGCTCAATAATTTCGAGCCTAGGCGTCGTGAATCACAGATAAAGGGATGGAAAACACGTCATTTTACGGAAAATTCCAGTCCCAAAAGCCCCCATAACGTTATGAATTATCACCCCAGGTAAAATATCCGTTTTAATTTTAACTCAAAGCATGAACATTCTTTTTTTCTCATCGAATTTGGATCGAAAAGGTGGAAAGGCAAATTTTCATAGAAAAAAACTTAAAAGCAACGAACCATCTTAATTAATCAAAAATAGTTTGAGGAAAAATTAAACAAAACGAAATCTTATTCTAGGCAAAATTTCGACAGCTTTCGTTTTAACGCTTCAAGTTGGATCAGTAGCATTATACTGCAGATCATGAAAAGTCATATACAATTAGAACTTACTACCACGCAAAGACGACGGGTTAAAGGGCGCGGAATAGGTCTCACGAGTTTCCTTTCCGATAATATTTATGGCCAATCAACGCTTAGAATACTTTGATCCTTTACCAAAAAGATTTTAAAAATGAATTGATTGCTAATAATTTCATCCGCAAACTATTTTAAACCCGCAGCGCTTCTAGTAATAAACATAGCTAATTAACAGTTGGAAAAGAGTAATGAACGCAAGAAAACTGACAAAAAAACTGACTTGTTTTTTCAAGAACTACAACTTTTGAATTTCGAAGAAAAAATAGATGGCCTTAAAGCTCTTTGAATTTGTAGAACAAATTATGATGGACACTTTATTGCTAAAATAAGCCATATTGAGAAAACTGGATCAATACGTTTAACTTTTATTTCGCTGGGAAATCTGATTAATTTCCATTTTCAAAGTTAGAAATCGGTCATGTTTTTCGTGACTTTTACACTTATGCTGTTCGATAGTTGAGTTTGCCTTCCTTTCAACAATGGAAACGCACTGAACTCAAAAAAATCACAAGTCAAACCGCCGTGAAAAATCAAAACTGAGCGTGAGCAAATTTTAAGACTTTTTCCTAAAAAAAAAAAAAAAATCAGCAAGACCTATAAAAGAGTCGTCACTACGTTCATCACTCTTAATCAACAAATTACTTCTAGTAATAATCAAATGGTACCAAGGCACCAATTAGGCAAACATGGCCAATTAACAGTTGGAAAAGAGTAATGAACGCAAGGAAACTGGAAAAAAAAACTGCCTCGTTATTTCAAGAGAGTTCAACTTTTGAATTTCGAAGAAAAAACAGATGGCCTTAAAGCTCTTTGAATTTATAGAACAATTTATGATGGACACTTTTTTTTGTTAAAATCAACCTAATTTGAGGAAACTGTATCAATACGTAAATCTTCTATTTCGCTGGTAAATCTGATAATTAATTTCCATTTTCAAAATCAGAAATCGATCACGTTTTTCGTGGCCTTTACATTTTTGCTGTTCAATAGCGGAGTTTGTTTTCCTTTCAACAATGGAAAAGCACTGAACTGAAAAAAATCACAGTCAAACCGCGAAAAATCAAAACTGAGTGTGAACAAATTTTAAGACTCAACAAAAAAATCAGCAAGACCTATATAAGAGTACTTTCTACTTTCATTACTCTTAAAAACCAAATGATCTTTCTAAGAGCCATGCAAAACACCATTTACACCAAGCAATGCTGAATCCTTGTATCAAATAGTTTCGCTTTTCAGCGAAAAAAAACATCATTATCAAGAGATGCCGATTTGAATCAAGATTTCAAAAAGTAGCATTTTATAATTATAGAGATAAGAATCTCCCTCTTAGGTTTAAGAGTTTTCCTTTTTCAATCGTTTGTTCTTTTTTTAACGTTTCCCCAGTTTTAACTTCATTAAAAAAATCATCTCTTCCTGTCTCAACTCAGCATACTTTGCGAAAGCAATTTTTTTCTATTGTTCTAAATTAGCAAATCAACGCGTGCCATAAAAACTACAAAAACAAAAAAAAATTAGAATGAGTTGTCTACATTAAGTCCACCTCCTTTTTCGTCACTTTTCCACGCCGTTTGGGCCACAGGACTGGCTAGTTCCGGCCCCACATTTGGCACTATTTTAGCTAGTGCACATACCATTCTGTATTTCTTTCGAGCCTTGTCAATCAATTCAAACAAGGGTTCTCCAGGTAGATATCCAGTAGCTTTTATTTGACTGCAGAGGTCTAACAATGTCTTACAATTGGCAGAGAGCTTAGAACTCTTTGTTGTACCAGTACTTAGATCATTTTGCAAGGAATCTCCTTCCATGTTGAAGACAAAATTGGGATCTTCGAGGGCCAAAAGAGTGCAAGCAACTCCTCGCATTACTCCAACGTCCAGTCCTATTTTCTGTCCATGGAACGTGCCCAGAAACTTGTTGTGGGATGACTCCTCATTTGTAGCCTTTGTGAAACCTGAATCAATCAATCATTTTGGAATACCTTCATCACTAATTACTTTAAAAACCTAAATATAGCCATGTTTTATTTCAAACTAGTTTCTGAAGAAATTATTTGTTTCTGAAAACTTGAACATAGCCAACAGAGCGGTTGAAAAGAGCCACTGAACGCACGAAACAGAAAAAACGGACTTATTTTTTTTGAAAAACTTTAGCCTTCCGTCTCAGTTCTTTGGATTTCAAGTACAAATTATGACTGATACTGTTAAGCTAAAATTAGCTCAACTTCAGAAAACTGGATCAATATGTAATTTTTCATTTTGCTCGGAATTCTAAATATTAAATTCCATTTTCGAAACTAGAAGTCAATCACGTTTTTCGTAACCTTTACACTTTTGCTGTTTGATAATGGACTTTGCCTTCCTTCCAAAAAAGGCAATGAAATGAAAAAGAAATAAGAAGCTAAGAAAAATCATAAGTCAGCCCGCGAAAAATCAAATTTTAGCGAGAACAAATTTCTAAGAAAAACAACAAAAAACTAGTCACAATGTATATAAGAGTCTTTATTACGTTCAAAGACTCTGAAACATAGTCAATAGAAGGTCACGAAAAGTAAAAGATCGAGGAAACCAAAAAATGATAAAGTTTTTGAAATTTTCAATTTTTGAAAAAAACGTATCAAGTTGAAGCTCTTCGAATTTCAAGAACAATTTATGATTCGACACTTTTTTGAATAAAACTAACCCAATGATGGATAACTAGATCATTGCGTAAAATTTTTATTCCGCTGGAAATCTAAAAATTAAAATCCGCCTTCGAAACTAGAAGTCGCGAACGTTTTTTCGCGCAATTTCCACTTTTATAATTGGAGAGCGCAATTTACTTAACGCTTAGCAGATGAAACTGTACTGCACTCAAAAAGTGCAGCTATACCTAACCTCATTAACAAAAAAATTAATATTTATGAATGAACTTGTTTAGTCAGTAGGTCATTTCAAGAGTTTTTCTGAAAAAAAAAAAACAAAAAAAAATTATCAAGAGCATCTACTTAACAATTGCCCCCCATCTTTTAAGAAGGGGTGGCAATTGTTAAGTAGATTAAAATAACGCATTTTCGACCAATCACATAGCAGCAAAATTCGAATTAGTGCTATTTACTGCTTTTATTAATAGGGGTGGCAATTCTTAAGTAGATAACAAAGGGAGGGCGATTGTTAAGTAAATCCCATCAAGTCATATATAAATGAAAATCAATTCGTTCTTTTACATAATTATAATAAGCGTTAAAAATTTTCAGTGCCATTGATTTTATCTAGCTATTTTAATAAGCGAAAATTAAGTTTTCCATGTTTTTGTTCAATTCATTATTATATCATGAATCGAAATGGAAGTGCAATTTCAGAAAATCGAAACAAGGGGTAAATTAAGAAACAATAGGAAAAGAGTCATTGAACTCATGGCTTGTTTCTTTATAAAAATGACAATTTCGAACTTCAAAGAAAATTGCGAAAATTGGACCAAAAAGTGAAATTTTTAAAATTTTAATGCACTGAGAAGTCTGAAAACTGAAATCCACTTTCTAACTTTCTCTTAAAGCGAATGAAATTGAATTGAACTGAAAAATAATCAAAGTCAATCAGCAAGATCAAATTTGTCGTGTACAAATTTTACGCCTTTTACCGACAAGAAATCATCGCGATCTTCATAAGTGTTTTCGCTACATTCATTGACACTAAAAAAAACTATGTAATTAGCACATTCAAAAAAATTGACCACTGAAGTATATTGTTTACCTTCTGAGAAGCCATGGGTGAAACTGCGATCGTATCCGAATATTATGTCAGTGATTTCGTCATTATCTCGCGGGGGCACTGGAATGTGCGGGCTCTGTACTGAACTCGTGAGGCTGTTCTGCTGCACATCTCCTGTGGGCAAAACTGCGTCTCCGTTGTTCATGCTGCTGAGACTATTGCCTCTATTTACATTGATCTGAAATGTCAAATGAAAACGAAGTGTCACTTTGATCTCCATGCTATGATTTATCTAATCAACTTTGACTAATCTTTAAGAATCGAAACTATTGTAACTCACTCTAAAATGATGAACACAAACTGCGAACTATGTTCTCAATTTTCCGAACCGACAAGGACACCATGAACTTAGGCATATTTGACAATTATAATAAATAAGGTATATTTGACAAAAGTTTTTCTCTTAATGCGAATCGAAAAATGAAATAAAAAGATGCAGAGAACGTTTTTGATGAAAAACTTCAAGTCGAATTTATTGTTTTTTCAATTTATGAAATAGAAATCATTGCTGGCAGCCCCGTATTTTTTTTTACTGTTGCATCAATCTCGTAGACTTTTCATTGATTTCATAAATAAGCTTTTTTCACGCTCATTAATCCGTTTGAAGCACCGGAGGAGCGTTACATGCTAGTTTTATTTCAATCTATTTAGCTAGATGTACACAAAAAAAACTTGTGGGTAAATATTTTAGTTAACATTTTATTTTATATTTCAGTTAACTAATTTGACGAGAGTATAACGGCTCAAATAAGACGGCGTAACTTGAATTATCCGAATTCGACTATTATAAGCCTACTATAGGACCTACTCACTCGAAATTAGACTATAGCTCAAAAATTTCAAACCAACTTTTTCTCGACACTGAGTAAACTTTCTGTACGAGTAAAGACTGAAATGGCTCTAAAATGATACATCACTTGTTTTTTTCCGATGATTACTTGTGGTACCTGATTTTGTATGAAAACAATTAAACCAAAACACACCCGATGACAAAGTTCCTCTTCGTTTTCAATGGTCTGAACAAAAATTTTTATTTACAAATATTACATTTGGACTACGTGATATAAGAAGAGAAAACCACAAGAGGGTTCTGGCAGAGGATCCAATGAAAATGTTCAAACAACGAACTACATGTTAATTTTTTGTCATAAAATCACAGTAGTTAAAAGTCAGATTGGAAAAATTTGGTGTAGTGGCAAACGCTTTAATTCAAATAGGGACTTTTCTGATCTCGGATTTTAACTTCCGATGCTAAAATATTAACCCACAAGTTGTTTGTGTACAGTTAAAAAGATTAAAATGAAACTAACCTGTAACGCATATCCGGTGCTTCAAACGGAGTAATGAACATTAAAAAAAGCTTAATTATGAAATCAAGGAAAAATCTACGAGATTGATGCAACAGTAACAATGGACGGGGCAGCCAGCAATGCTTTCTATTTCATAAATTGAAAAAAAAATCAACAAAGGTTCTCTTCAAACTGAAATGGTCAAAACTTCACGGTAACTTGGTTTCAATCTTCGTATTTTTAAATCAGAAACAAAATTCTAAAATTGCCGAAAGCACGCACAGAACTGCACTTTCAAAATTTGAAAAAATTAAAATCAGGGTTCTCCATCCATTGAACACTTAACCCAGCTCCCAGGTTAAGTGTTTAATCGGGAAACCTGATTTCTATTTTTTTCCAAACTTTGAAAGTGCATTTCTGTGCGTGCTTTCGGCTATTTTAGAATTTTGTTTGATTTAAAAATACGAAGATGTGATACGAAGTTGTGGAGATTTGACCATTTTAGTTTAAAGAGAACCTTAAAGTTGAATTTATTTAGTTCAATTTATGAAATAGAAAGCATTGCTGTCTGCCCCGTCTATTGTTACTGTTGCATAAGTAATTTTTGAGTAGAGGCAAAAAACTTTTAAAAGACGGTCAAAGTTTCAAAACTTTCACTTGTTTAAATGTCAAAAAATTGAACGCATTCCCGTATGCAAAGGAGCTTCTCATAACTAGTTCTTTGGACTGCACCCAGAATCTCAGTTATGAGACGATATTTTTTTGTAAACTTCATAAAATTTAGAGAAAAAAAAACGCTCAAAAAATGACTTTTCAGAGGAAAAGATTTTTTTTTGTGAGGGGCCGCTAATGCATGCCAGCTTCCCACAACCCGTTATCTGCATTGAACCCACAACCTCAAGTTTGGGAGGTAAGTTTTCAAGAAAAAGATTCAAAAACGGTTAAAAAATCAAAATTTGACTATTCCGAGTGTCGTAAATTCATGTGTTAAAAAAGTTTGGGTGAAGCCGCTTATGCAGGTGGAGCTTTTCAAATCCGTTCTATTCATTGGAGCCAAAATCTCAGATTTCCTAGGCTAGTTTTTGAGAACACATCAGTCAAATATTCCTCTTCCCCCCCCCCCCCCCCCAAAAAAAAGACTTTTACTGTAGACAAGAAGACTTTTTCTAGGAAGGCTGTAGACAAATGGGTAAAACAAAAAGAGACCAGGGGAGTATGCAAGCACACAAGAATGTAGGCGGTCTTTCTATGGATACCCTTTTTGAAAATAGAAAACTCAAGAGACAAGAATTTGAAAATAAGAAAATATGTTCCAGGCCAATGAGTTTGAGCACGATACTTGTAACGGAATTAAATTCAAAACGAAAACTTTTATTTAATCCGACGTTAATGGCCTGAAAAAACGACCTGAACATAAATATTTGTTCTGGCAAATCTGTACCAAAACGTTGAAACGGAGACAACCAAGACAAGCCGTATCCCCACTAGCTCATAGGATTTGAAGCTTTCAGGAAGTGTTCTCAGTAACTCATTGGATTCCAATGAAATTTCAATTTGAATTTATGCTATGCATTTAAAAGTATACCTTGAAATAATGTACATAAAATTTGATACAAAATTGACAGCAAAAACTTCAGGCACACAAAAACCACGCCACATTAAAATGAGTTAAGCTCAATTCTACGTATAAGGATGAATGAATGTGACCAGCTAGTGGCATTTGAAGAATATAGGTAGAATTTTCGACAAAAGGGGAACAAACATAAACTTAAATTTCGCTGTCACCAAATAGTTGTTTCAATGGTTGCTTCTTACACCTTTCTTGAACATTTTACATGCAGATCCCGTTTTCTTACTCCGTCAATGTTTATATTCACCAACAATCGTGATTTAGTGGCGTGTTAAGGGAGATCACATATGTATCATTTAAACAAACTACATAAAGGGTATGTATCCTCGAAGAAGCGCGAGCTTCACTTATACTACACTCCCAAAAATTACCACGGATTGTTAAAATTAAGATCTGTCTAAAGAATTCGAAAATCTAAAACAATGTGATGTCCTAAAAACTAAGAAATATATTAAATTTTTTTTAAAATTCATGAACACGCCACTGTTTTTTCTATGTTATTTTACCTTTGCCGCCTCTCTAATTAAACTCTATTGTCCTGTTGCCTTGACCTGCGCCTCCTCTTTCTCTTGCAGGTGCGTATGTATTATAGAGTTGATATCGTTGAACACGCCCATCAGTTCTCTGCAGAAGTCACGTGGGTTGGTTGAGGGGTGTGACTTGCTGGCGGTGACGACAAACTTGGTGCGAGTACTGTCTGCCTCCAAGTAGAACACACCATATCCCTCCGGGCACTGATGTCGGAACACTCCTCCGTTCGGGTTCTTAGTCCAATCCTGTTTGGTAACAAAGCAAAACATGCATATATTTAAGTTTGCATCCATTTTCCAACCAATTCTAAAATCTATAGAGGAAGAATATGACAAAATTATATGATATAAATTCTATACAAACTATGCTATAAAATCAGGTGGTTAAACGTCATTCCAAAACTTGACAGAGGCGAAGCTGCTTCGCACCATTTGCGATACAACTAGATCTATCAAAATGAATAAAGATAGTTGCAAAGGCCAATATCAAATAAGCCGAACCCTATAAAGCCAAAAAAAATTAGAAAAAATGAAATTTCATCAAACCGAGTGGTAACAAAACAACCAACTTAAAAAGTGCTGAGTGGAGCGTAAAAAATGTGTTTCCCCTGAAACGACGCGAAATTAGGTAATGAAGTTGATAAAAAATTGGCAAATTTAACTTGGCCAGAATAAAATTATTAAGCGAAACAAAAAAAAAGAAATACGAAGTCAAGGTAAGTAAAATTAAAATTTTTTAGGAGTAAATCAAACACTAAAAGCAACCTTAGAGAAAAATACAAGCAGCAAAAAAAAACGTTTCCAAGATGTGGCAACTAAGCCGACAAACGATAAGCAGAAAAATAATGAGTCGACAATTTTATTTGAAACAGAATATTTTCATTTATAATTCTTGAAACAGAATTAATTATGAAACAAGTTATCAGTAGAGATGAGTACAGAGTTATTTACGAAAAAAAGTTGTAACCGACTGCAACACCCTTGCTTATCGCAAGGGTAATAAGTTATAGAGGATTAAGACAGGAGACAACAATGCAACGAAATTATTTACCTCGTCGTATTTGGACAGAATCTTCAGCTTGTCTGACACTTTGGGAGGCACACAACTAGTGCACATAGGAGCCGCCATACCATCATTGACCACGTAGTCCAGGAACTCCGAATCCATTCCCCGTCCCCTCATTATGACGTAGAGGGCAAATAGATGTCGGTCGATTCCCTTCATACCCATCGCCGACTTGATCAGCTCCGAATGCTCCTCCGCCGCCACCTTAAGAAGTCGGAACTTCTCCTCATTCGTGACTTCAGAATCCTGTAGCGCCTCTGCAAACCTAAATAACTAATGATGTTAGACCACAACTCAATAACTGTTTTGATTCTCCCTTTTTGGTTTATCTAATAATTAATATAAATACTTTAAAATAGATTCCATAAAACTAACCTCTTCTTTCCCATTGTCAGAGGTCGGATATTTTCTGTCCTCCCATATGCAAAATGCTGCAGCGTGGCCGGCTGATACGTCAGCATAACCTTCTGGTGCAACTTAAAAGTTGCCGCCTGAATTGCACACTGAACAACACCTTCTGGACTCAGCCTCACTTTCTTAGCCAGCTTTCGATCCACGTTATCAGCCAGCATGTGACCGACTTCGATGTCTTGTGCTTCCGTCTGGAAATCAGCAGCTCTTTGGAAATCGTCGTCCAAAAGTGAAAGGTCTCCGAAGTCTATGACTTCTGGTTCCCGGAACCCTCCTGCATTGTACACCCCGTTTTCGATAGTATTCAGACCTTTTTTGTCAAACCAGCTGAATCCGTTGATCTCATGAGCGAAGAACTCTTCGATGACCGCGAAATTCTTTCCCAACGACATGACTAGTCCGTCAAAGCACGAGTGCTCAAACATCGTTATTACGCGTCCGCTTTTGAACGTGGTAAACGAAAGTGATTTGTCCAGCCATACTTTTCCGTGTCCGTGGTTACCGTACAGATAGTAATCACCATTCGCATCGGACATCTCGTCTTCCAAATTCACCATAAACGCGCCATCCTCCACAGCTTGAAGTGCTTCGGGAGATATCTTAATTAGTCTCTCCCTGATTTGTGACCACTCTTCCCTTGGCAGCGTTGTGAATAATGCTGGATTGCGTTGCTTCGACCCACGCAGGTTGCTGTCAATCCAAATTTGCTCAAAGAGAATCTTGAGCGTTCCTGGGCACAGCATCGTTCCTTTGTCATCGTACATGAAGATCTTATAATAATTCCCTCTAGACTGAACAACTACGTAGCCGACTTGCAGGGGATCTTTCCACACGTGCTCGTCGATGTGTTGTTTAGGGATTCTGGTACTGCCAGTAACGTATTTTACAGTATCCATGCACATTGGAATCACACCATTGAGTGTCATCTGCTGCAACAGAGCTCCATTGTGTCTTCCTTCGATGAAGTACTTCCATGTTCCGTAAGTCCAAACTGCAATTCGGTCCATTCTGTTATACTGGATTCTATACGAATCGCCTCCAGCTACATTCGAGCAGAACAGAGGCTTCCTATTGGCTAGATAGACGTACTGTTTCCACCAATCAGAAAACCAGTTCCACTTCCAGATAGCTCTCAGTATAAGCATAAACTGAAGTTTCCAGCCGATGGATGCAAGGAACTCGTCCGCTTTACGTTGCAAGTCGCTCATTTCTTTTTCTGAGAGAACTGGACGCATTGACTCCACAAACTTATCCACCGTCACTTTCAGACTATTAGGAAACGGAAGAGGTGGTAACACTGTTTTGAAGCAGTAGTGGTTGGAATTAGCTGGAATCAACGCCTTCATTAACAGACCCCATATTTTAGTCCTAGTAGTCACTCTTCCAGTTGAGAGCCAGCCTCTGTATCGCAACAGACATGCTATGAAGGTCTTGGTAAGTAGTAGAAGTGTGATTAGAAACATCCAGCTCATGTACATAGCAGTTTCTGGGAGCATTTCCAATTGCATGAAGCAAAATGAGGCAACTGCTGTACCCATGAATGCAAACAACTTAGGAGAGTATGGCCAAACGGCAGCTTCAACAGCACATGAGAATTGTCTGAGGTAGATTTCACGCTTGCGTCGTGCTTCCGATTTTTCCCACGCCGCCACTCTTGCAGCATCTTCGAAAGGTATGGCCCGGTCAACTATTCGATTGACCGACCCCATGGCACTTACAGAATAAAATTCTGTTATCAAACTTATCTGAAATTTAAACTTCACGATGAAACTTAACTCAACCGTATAGAATTTTTTGTACTTAAAGAAAATCCAAAGATGAGCAGACGTGTAGTTCAGCCCATGGCATACAGCAGATGACTAAGATAAGGTTTTTGATATTTGCGCATTTCTTCGCTTATACGAACATGCAAAGCTCACACTTATCAAGTGGAATATTGCTCTACTGCTATTGTTTTTTAGCTAAAGATCTACTGAAAACAGTCAACAATATACAAGTTCACCTGATATGCACCCCACAAACATATAATCAATATATTAATTAAGTATAGTAAAACTATCCATCACCACCTTTCAAAGAGTAAGATTGTATTATATAACTACGACGTTACTATTCCTGATGAGACTCAATACACAAATTTGATGGAGCAATTTATGTTTTGCTTCCCCGTTTGACACCATACAAACAGCACCCGATTTAATTTACACAAGTTTAACATTGTACACAAATCGTCAACTGTTGTATTACAATACTTAAATATTTTAAAACTTAAAAAGCCACGAATTAAACTGCACGTTAGGCTTTTTAACAATTTCAAAGTTTAAATGTTACTTCTCGGTCGATGATATTTTAAAAAATGATTTTGAAGACAATTTCAGACATTTAAGATTGAGAGCTTATATTTTAAACTTTGATATTAAGAAACTAGGATTAGACCTTTTTTCTTTCCGCTCTTTGTTGTTATACGCTCCTGATCATCCATTCTCACTTACTGCTGCTAGTGGAGAGAAGAAAGAGGAGAGATGACGAAGCTAGAGTAGTACCCACAAGATTGTACAATGGAGCCATGTTCTTAAGCACGAAGAATGAAAACACCAGTACCAATGTCAAGTAGATGATGTTGTTGAAGAACAGGGAAAAACTGACTGCCTGAGCCTCACAGATCTCATTCTTTTTCCAGTGCAGCAAGTTCTCCCGTTGTTTTTTTGTGAAAGCACCAGCCCCCGACTTGTTTTCATCGACTAGTTTGTTCACTTCTTTGGTCACTTCTCGCTCTATTTTTTGCGCAACCTTGTGCTTGATCACAAACTTGGTGTTCGTATACGCCTAAGAGAAGGTAAAGAATGTTCAAAAATTATTTAGAGACCCTTTTCAACATGAGTAACATTTTCAAATTCTATATTACCTTTGCAATAAGGAAAGCGCTGACAAGAGACACAGCAGTCCATGGAAGGTAACTATTCACGGGATCCATCATGTGGATTCGCCAATATAGCCACAGAGGAATCACAGCTACAATTAGGGCCATTCCGTAGAACACTACGCCTGATACACCGCTCAAATTCCGACTGAAGTCGTTCAGCAGAACATCAATTTCATCTGCGTTGTCTGCAGATTGCGATTTTTTCTGAGTTGATCCGCTCATTTTGATTCTTTAAGAATAATCAACAAACAAATAATTCAAAATTACAATAACATCCAGTTTTTTCTAAGTTGATCAGCTCGTTTTGATTCTATAAAGATTCTATATATTAGGCTAATTCTATTATCCTAATTGTTGTGATAAACTTATTAAATAGTTTCATGTGATATGATACGCTCATAATGGTACGCTTGTAAGAAGAAGGCCCGGTACGGGATTTTAGAGACAAGCTCGTCAAGCAGCGATACTCTCCCTCTACCCGGACATCCCCGCCGGAACCTCCACCCGTGAAAAACCAGGTTGTAATCGCTTTCATTTCTTTTTGGTTATTTGTTTTTTAAATCCATTTCTCTACAATCCATTTTACAACCTATTCTTTCTCTTGTTTTGCCTCTTTTGTACCCTGTTTAGTGAATGTCCATGCCGAAGTACAGGCCGAAGTGGCTACCCAAGTGGAGCAGGAAACTGTTAATAGGAACCTCAAGGACCAAGTACTGCAGCCCCAAAGATGTCAGAGCCACGGTTCACTCATACAGAGGTGCAAAGCTAGCCGACCTTGCAGCTACTGTCTCGCGTTACCCCTCGCAGAAACTGAACTGTGTTACTATAGTAGCCGGATTTAATGATAACTCATCTACGGTTTCAGACTTTACTATGATTGGAGATTTTTAAAAAAATTTAATAATTTATAAGTTTAACCCAAATGTGCTAACTATCCCCAAAACCATCCTCTCTGCAAATAATCACTTCAAAAACAGTAAACTTGGTTCTCTAATTAACTCTTTATTTCGCCTTATTAATACGTTTTACCACTCAAGAATCCGAATTATTTCCCTGAATCTAAACGTTAATTTTAGTGCTAATATGTTTTGTAAAGATGGTATTCATTTTTCTTTTTATGGTAATAAAATTAAGTTTATTGCTCGCTCAGCTAACTTGCATATAATAATCACAAATTTAACCTCCTCGCTGCTAAATTATGGCCGATCAAACGCACTGCCATATTTGCAAACGCCAAATCCGAAAAAGAGGCATATAGTGTGTCATTTGCACAGCTTACATCCATGTCTCATGTAGCGGGCTACAGACCAGCAAATTCTATTACGATGGGTTCTCCTGCATACAATGCACCCCCGAGAACTGTGCAAAAAAGCTCAGCTCCACCAACAGACCAAAAAGCACAGCCCCCATCACAACTCAAAAACCAACCAGCACAGCCCCCATCACAACCCAAAACGAAACATCACCGGTAACTGTAACAGTCGCCTACTTCAGTCACATATGAGGCTTAAGAAAAATAGGCCCTATAACCATTGGCTCAAGAGTCAGGGACACTATCTCTTGTGTTTATCTACCTCAAGAACGGTCGGAGCCAATTCGGTTCGCTTGCGACATGAGACTAGGACCCGTTACAGCTTAAAGGCTACTACCAAAATATCCCCCCACTCTAGAAAATAAGAACGTTCCCATACTTAGGTCTCAAGATACCCAAAATACATGAACGCCGTTAAAAACAGGGTCAGAACAATCCGTTAAGTTACTTTTTATTGGACAGTGGAACTTTGATCCATTTCAGATGGATCAACCTAAAACTCGCCTTATCTCAACATAACAATCATAAAACACACTCAAGAATATTAAATTAGGGACTCACATAATGATGCACTCGAGTACAAGGAGTAATTAAATTGGTAAGCAACTCAAGAATTAGATAATATAACTAGATAAGTTTAATACTGGTCAGTTTTGGTAACAGAAGTAAGTTCTGGCTCTAGAATTGGAGTTTTTGTGTGAACCACTGGGACACTCAAGCTGTCCACCTTTCCATTGAAGGTTCACTCTAGTTTGTTCCGAATAGTTGTTCTCTCTTCTTTTTATTATCTCTTCTCCTATTTCGGGATAAGACAGCTCTACTCGTGTCCTATTTTATATCTGGAAATTGCGAATAGCAATTTCCTGCTGTTTTTCTTGAGTATTTTCCCGCAATTGTAAACTCGGATGTTCTGATTTTTCACTTTTTGTTTTCAGTTGGTACGAGAAAACTGAGCATGACAGGCTCCATTCGAAATTTTGAAAATTAAAACTTCACTCCAAAATTACGTATTTTCGTGTCTCTCAAGGTCAAACTTCCAGACATGACCGACTGGCACATACTCCCCGGACTCAAGATCGATGTCTTCATCGCGTGCTGTCTTTGTCAAAGAATCCCCAGAAGCCCGAGTGTCACTCAAATACAGTGCCAGTGGTCATTTACAGAAGTTTGCAGCAGACTTAAGTTTATCTACCTTCCAAAATTCACGACCATATAAAATTTTCACACTATCGCTAAACAGCAATCAAAATCTGCACACACCTGCACCTTATGAATTCCCGCTTTTTAAGCTGGTGATTTAAAATTTCTTTTGTCCTATTCAATCAGGAAATTGTCATGCAGCATTTTGATTTATATAATAGATCTAGCATATGAATAACAATATCTTATTTGTTAAAATTTCTTTTTCGTGAACCCAGATTTCATCCGAGTTCACCCTCGAGCCCCCTCCCTCTCAAGACTCAAGATTCTAGAATTTTCCTTTTAAGCCACTGGCTCACCTTGTGTTCTTCGCCCTCGAGGTACCCGATCCAGATACTTTTGACACTGTGATCTGTTCCAATAAGGCTTCTTCGTCATCGGAGCTGATCACAATCTCCTCCCAAGCCTTCAGCTGTTCATAGGATCGCATCCACTCTCTTTGCTTTTGCAATCTCTTCGCTTGATTCAGTAAGCTCTTCACCTTCGACTGCCGGTTCAAACAGAAGGAATTGTGAAGACTCAGGCTTACATTCTTCGCCAGGTCCTCCTCCAGTATTGACTCCCTCGCTCTAGTGTTGTCTCTGGATACTCTACCCACTCTTTTCCACCCCGTCGTGATCGCATTTCGATGGGTCAGCAGAGGTCTCTTGAAGGCATATGGTCCTATCTCGGCCTGGAATTGTCGATATTCCTTTTGATGTTTCCTCATGTGATCCTTCATCGCTACATATAACCAGGATGTTAACGTCGCGCGAAACCAAGGAAAGAATCTCAAGCGGCTCCACACGTGTCTGACTTCCATTGGTATGGCGATCACCTTGCATGCTGTCTCGAACAACTCAAGTCTCCTGCTGTAATCTATCGCGTGAATCGACTCTGCTGTTGGCGTCTTCGATTCTCGATACTTTGCTATGTTTTCTTCCATCCATCGTAGAGCCAGCATTGTGCTCACCACCAAGATGGTCACTTTTTGTTGATGCTCGGTTAATCCCAACGACCTGATTTCTTCTACATCCCAGATCAGGCAGAGATTGGCTTGACTGGGTACCACACTGTCTGCGCCAGACAGTGGCATGGACAATCCCCGTGTGTGAGGTCGATGCTCTTAAGATGCTCTCCCGAGGCTTCCAGGAGAGGCTCAAGTTCCATCATCTTCTCGTGTATCAAGTCGACTTCTCCCAAGTTTGGGGCACCTACCATGGGTTTCCCAATCACGTTTTGTCTCTCGAGGTCACTTGTATTTTCGCTCTCCAAGCCTAGAAGTTCTTCACCCCAGATTTCACTCAAGTCATCCCTTTGTTCTTTAGGCACTGTTCCTCGGACCTTCCTCAACAGCTTGTGTGAATGATGTGACATCCGAGCTAGTCTTACACATTTGGGCACTGAGAAGGCTTTGTCTATCAATACCCTCTGGCTGGACACTTCTACCATCACCATGTGTAATGGATAGTGGCTGCCACATAGGTTGGCCATCACTGACCCCACTAGGGACTTCGCATTTAGAGGCAGTCCATAGGCTTCGCTCATGGGAAATCCCATCTCCGCTTCGAGTCCAACCTTCCAACTCTTGATGTGTTTCTGGGTCACTTGCAACACTACGGGCCATGACTCCACGCTCAACGCGGTCACCAAGTGGTGTTCTGGTTCTAGCCTCTCCAGTGACTGGAGACTACACATTCTTGAGAAGAATCCCAGAGCTGTTGCTAGATTCACCGTGGTACTCGCGTAACACTCAGCCACTATCTGTATCTCACTTTTCTCCCTTTCGGTGATATCTTCAAACCAGGTGACTAGGTCTTCTTTCTGGAAAGATTGTATCCTGACGCACGATCGTCCATCACAGGTGTGCTCGCCATTCCCACACGTCGAGTCAAGACAACTGCCCGGCTCCATCTTCTTTACCGACCCTGTTCCACTCGTCATCTCACTTGACTCCTTCATATGAGGCAGGATCAGTCTATGTACTATACTCAAGGTCGCTAAATCTTCATCCTCTGTCGGCGCCAATCTCACTCGCTCAGTGACTTCCTCGATCAGGCTCGCATGGGGATGTGAACACCAGGAGGGCCTGAGCAATTTCCACACCACTCCCAGATTCGTGGTCAACATGCCGTTCCCGTTACCCATTTTTAGTTCTACTCTTTTACTTGAGCGTGGCACACTTATTACTCCCGGTGTTCTCTCGAGAATCAAACCTAGGCTAGGTCTCTCTCTTTCCAGAGGGTCTATCTCCATTATCTTCTCTGTCCAGAACTTCAGCAGCTCCGCCACCTCCTAGTTTCTGTGGGCACCTCCAGCTTCTAAGTCTAAGAAAGGGTTGTATGCCATCCCCATCACTCCATTCACATACTGATACTCTCCCTTCTTGTTGGGTTTCAAGTACTCTCCTGAAGAAGCCAAGTTACGGTGAACGTCGTGTTTCTCCTCGAACTTCTTGTTGTAGAATCTCCGTATCTCATCTAACTTCCTGTGGCTCTCTAGAGATTGCCTAGAACCATCCTCTTTTTCTATCCCAGTACTCTGGTACACATTCAAGATGACTGTGGAGACTCTCCTTTCCAGCGTCTTGCTTCCAATTGCTCTCTGGTGACATGCTAAGGATCATCAGTCATCATCGACATTGTCCATCTCAAGAAACAGGTAGCATCTTTCCTCCTTGCCAGACTCAAGCCTGAGTTGTCCCTAGCAACGTGCTGCATCAGCATTCGATATACCTCTAGATTCTTGCCTCCCAACTTCAACTTGTCGTACGAAGTCAGTGTCTCTAACTCTATCCCCAACAGGCTCCACGCGAACATCAGTTGTCCTGCCGTCCTAATAAAGGGATTCGCCATCAACGGTGATGCCAATGAGGATGTTCTC